TATTTATTTATTTATTTATTTATTTGTTCCACAGATTACCACGAATAAATATTCATTTATCATTTGCTATCTATACTTTTGAAAGTTTTGGTCACAGAAATCAAGCAGATATTTGTTCATATTAAAAAGACGAAGGGCCGCTTATGGTTAGAACAAAAGGAGGCGCAGATGATAACGAATAGAAATACCTGATGTGATTCTACGGAGGGAATAAAATATGTGCTGCTTGTTCAGGCGGGTTGTCATTAGCGCTGCCTGCGAACCTCTCCATTTGCGGGCCAAAGCAGCTTTCTCAATCAGATGATGTCACCCTGACCATGAGCCAATAACCATTGGTGGGAAACGCTACCCTGTAGTTGCCAACCCAACCCTCTTCATACGCCCTCTCGTTTATAGGGATGATGACTGACGTCCACCCTGATAGTTGCGCGTGATCCCCTGAGATCCAATTCGGAATGAGAGAGCTCGACAGTTATTCTGGTCTCTTCGAGGGAGAAGGGTGAAGTGTATTCATACATGTGTATGCACCCAGTACAAATTGATCTGCGCCACATGGACCACTTCCAGCGTGTCCTAGGGGCGCTCAGATAGCTCTATTATGACGCCCGAAGACCCTCTACACTCAAAATTTCTCGAGGATTTCTTCTTCAACGGGCTGAAGCCTCTGAACGCTGAACCCGTCAGAGAAACACTAAAGAAAATGAATTGCAGCCGTGGAATATCAACGCCTTTTTCCACTATAGGAATGAGCTCCCGGCACCCGTTTTCGGAACAGACTATTACGACATGTTGTAGAGCTCTACTTATTGTGAGGTACGAGCAGCGCAGTCGTCCAGCCGGAGGGTACAAACTGCGCTGGACAGATAAGAGCCGAACTTGTCTAAACGAAATGGAGACGAAATTTCGGTCACAACAGTCTTCCCACTGAAATACTACCGAGTAGTACGACGAGTATCAAAGCCCACACTTGCAAGCTGGCTGTATGCTCGCTATACAAGATCGCACATACAGAAGGCCATTAAAAAAGACACTTTGCTCATAAAGAGTATCCCCAGTTTTTTTTCTCGAATGACGGGCTAAACGAATAACGAGTACAATTACTAGAGATACTGACCCCTTCTCCTTGGCACCTTTGGAAGCCGCAACGACGTGCCTAGGATCTCATACATAGCACTTGGATAGAGTTCACCAGGGCGCAGTTCGGCGACGTGGGGCATTTTGTACTTTCATTGCTTCCCTAGTTCCGGTTTACAAGTCTCACTCTGGTGAAACCTGTGAACTCTTGTGAAGCTGGAGCAAGGTCGTCAAGCCATCATGGTAAAACCTGTCAACTCGAGAAGAGGCTGTTAGGTAGGTCGACACGTCGAAGGGAAGCAGCAAAACCGCAAAATGCCCCCAACCCGTCCGTGCCCGAACTGCGTCGTTCACTAAGTTCGTCCTGAAAAATAAATCGTCTACCACACGAGGTTTGTCCGAAAAGCTGGGGAATGCTTGACCATGCTATCCACCATCATTAGCGGCACTCTCTAAGAGCTGCGCACTACTGAGACCTGGAAAGGTGGAAACTACACAGCGCCGTCAGGCTTGACCCGAATATGACCGGAAGTCTTGACATGGGGCAACAATCCCATCGACAGGGGCTGTCACCTTGTCCACGACTGTGGAAGACTGGGGGGCGCAGTCCCTACTCGTACTTGTAAAGAAGCATCTTGGGAACATTATTATATCGTGACTCTTTCATGTAGCTTGCCACCCCTGTAATAAGCTCTGATGATCGATCCACTTAGTGAGCAAGGGGTTTCTTATTGGCCTCCCCCATGTTTTGCTCATGGGTAGGGTCCGTCGCAATCGCAGATGACGTACTAGGCAGGAAATATTAGTTGTACATAGGCATTAAATCGCAGCAAAAAGATTTTGATTTGGCTCAGGTTTTCTTTCAAGTTTACTCGCCGTGTTTTCTGCTGTGCTCATGCCGGCTAAATTTTGACAAATATACCATTGGGGAGGCGGGAGGGGGGGGGGGGGGGGGCAAAAAAAAGTCACTTCGACCGAGTCACATATCAGCAAAGTTTTCGCAGCCCAGACAGAGGACGTGGATACGAGTACCAGGGCGGAAGATGCTGTAACCAGCGAAGGTTCAACAAGTCAGCCGGCTATTTTCAATGGAGAGTGCGCACCGTTGTACGCGTTTTTGGGACGGTGAACTCGAATCTACCTTCAGAATTTGCGGAACGACTCTCTGAACGGAGTATTGGAGGGTTTCATCCCCGCGTGGTTGTTTCACATGCTATCGCGAGGAAGCGTGGAGGCGTCGAGCGCAACGGATAGCGAGCGGGATCACCAGGCGAGCAAGGTCGTGGATCGTCTTCGGCAGGGTGCTCTCTGCTCAGTCTTGCATTCGTCCAAGAACATGGACGACAAAGCCTTCTAACATCTCTGCTCGCCTGCAATAACCTGTAAGGAAACTTCGACCAGTTTTTTTTCGAAAGTGTAGGCCCATTTAGGGCGTGAAAGAGTGCTTCGTGCTTGTCACTTCCCCCGTAGCACACGGTCACAAAGGGTTTTGCAACGATACCATCATATGATCATGCTCAGTGCGTGGTTAGAACAATTACGCCTGTAGGAAGGGAGCGAAGGTTGCGATCGTGAGCCGAGAGAGTCTGGATAAAGACGCTCACTTCGAATATGAGGGCTATCATGGGGGCAATACAGCAGCAGATCGGAGCTCACCTACGCATCAATGACTGTTCATTTCGGAACTGGAATTTACTCGCGATAGTATCAGAAAATGAATGCAGAACGGTACAAAATACAGTAGCCAGCTACTGCTGTTTGCGAAAACACATGACTGAAGAGTTATTTCAGTTCGAAGACCAGTCATCACCAGTATGCTAATCATAGTATAGCTGTTGGCTACTGTGCAGGCCATAGAATATACGCCCAGTTCTTTTCGAGTTTGAGTCAGAACCTCGGATTTTGCTAGGGTGACGGGTGACGTCTCTGAGGGTTATTTGACTTCCTGAACACGAATATGACAGCTATTCTGCGCTGTCGAGTCGCACTACAGGTGCCAATGCTTCGGCGCCAGCGCGCCTGGAAGAAGAAAAAACAGTAAAGAAAAACCTCCATAACTCCGCTCAGAGAAATGTTTTCGCAAATTTCGAAGATAGTTTCGAGTTCACTGTGTCAAGATGAGTACAATGATGTGCATCATATTGCATATGGCCGGGCTGACCTGTTGACCTTTCCTGGTAAGATGTATCCTCTAAATAAGCAGGATCTAGCGCTAGCCCACCACCTTCATTTACATCAAAATAAGTGAAATATCTCCCGCGGCAAACCTGACTGGAAGGAAGGACCTTCCCGAATTCATGTCACTCCAAATACAGCTTAGCGAAACTTCCCGTAGGTGGAGTCCACCCATGGATAGCTACCTGGAGAGCAGTACTCTCGATCTGGAAGACCTCCAAAACATCGAGCAGCTCCGTCAACGTCGCTACGGTCTAGGACATCATCTTCACCGTAGTCGCCGAGGCGCGAGTTGATGGTATGGACCGGGGTACCTGGAATGGGAAGACCGATATTTTCTTTGTAGACCAGGACTGAAGGTGAGCGCTGACGGTCACATCGAGCAACCCGAGAAGAATGTCCTCCCTACATGTCGTCGCGCGTACCTTCTTGGAAACTTTGTACTGCTACAGGTTTGGGTGCCATCCACATGGAATCGAAGGGTGTTGGAAAACTTTCGCCTACTTGGAAGGGAAGGGCGTTTAGTACCTGAAGAAGATGTAATATTTGAGTATGTCCCCTGACCTGAACCCTCTCAATTACCGGGTTCGGAAGGAGCTCAACAAGGGGATCTACAGTGGCCAAGAAATCAACTATATCGCTGAAGCTAGGTACGAATCACGGTTGCGTGGCAGAATCTCTCGACGGCGCTCCTCCAGAAGGCTGTGGCGGAGTATCATGATAGTATTTAATATGCTCTTTAATATGGTGGTAGAAATGTCCGATCAGAATTCAATAAAGTGTAACTTAGCGCCTCGAAAGTCAAGGAAGAAAAATGACTTTTTTTGCCCCCCCCCCTGTATAGCTGAATGAGCTGGATCCAGACAGTGTCCAGCTTATGGCTCTGGCCTTTCTTGGAGGCCACTCCTCATTATGTCTCCACGTCTCTGAATAAAATGACAAAAAAGCGGCAGAATATTATATCCAGGGCTCTAATGAGTGGCTAGATTTCGCCCAGGAAATATTTTTCCCTTCCAGAAAACTGATCGTGTGATCAAATCAAAAACCCGAAAAAGCCTGTACCATGCACTATGCCCTACAGAAAATCGCTGTAATAAATACGGTAATAATCCCAAATGATAAATATGCTTCTCTCTTTTTCCACTCACCAGCTGTTCTGAATAGAAGGATCGCGAATCAATGTAGAACTTAGCTAATGAGCCCCAATTCCACTACAACCATTACATTACATTTATTTGCATTCATTTACCACGACATGCTAATACATTCTTGAACAAAAATTCACTATAAAAATATTAAGAAAATGTCAAAGTGAAAAAGTAATACACGTATTGCACGAGAAGCACACTATGTTGAATCTGCTCACAAAACACTTTAACATCAAAATGTATCACATAGAAAAATATTCCTACTCGTCAATGTCCCTGAAAGCAGCAAATAGATTGTCCATTTTCTTACACAGCGTACTTCCTTTCAATCTGAGGTAATTCAGCGTTGTAAACGGGACATGCACTTGATCGTCATACTAAAAGTGGTCAAGTATCACAAGCAATCAAATGATGGTTTAGCGAAATTTTTACACAGTCCAGTCTTCCCTGGTGACCGGCTCAAGTTTGTGATAGCTTTAGGATGAGCTGCAGGCGTAACATATTCAATGGTAAACGCGGACGGACTGATAAGCGAGGCAAAGGATGAAACTTCAGTCTTTGCCGTTTTTTAGGATGCGCCACGCGTTTTATTTACACTCGGAATCGTAGTAGATTACTGAGTGCTATATGACCAAACAATGACTCGCGGCCAGCCGGTGTACAAGTCAATATTCTCACCCAATTTGTTACCAAGTCACACTTTCCGAAGATAATAAGGCCCTGTGGGCATGAGCGGGAGTTGATACGTGATTCAACCCCTTGACGCTCCCGGAAAGCATGCCACACTAACCATCTTCGCCTCGGTGAAGCGTCGTAGATCTTCCATTCTTAGGACGATTTCTTAGGTCGCGTTCATGCTGTCCTAGTGTTGAGAATTCGCGAATCGGGAGCGCTACGAGGGAAAGTGCGCTACCAGGGATTATTTGAGCCATGGTTAAATCCGCCCACGGACGAAGCATGCATTCTCCCAATTCTCTCATTTCCTTGACATCTATAATTCTCTTGATGCAGGTGGGGGGGGGGGGGGGCATTTTCCATATTCGCGAAATATGTACGCGCTTTGTTGCAGAACACTTATCGGAAGACATCCACCAGAATCAGGAAGTCTTCATAGTCCAGTGATCAAATGAGCGAAACGTGTGAAAGATCCTTCACTTGAGAGGAGAGAGATTGATTCGAATTCTGTGATTAGGCTGAAGAAAAAAGTTCATACCTTTGTAGCACCTTGAAACTTCCTCACTTGAATCAGAGGGTCACGATCGATCCCGAAACGAATGAATACTTCCCTGTAAACAATGAAAACTGACCCAGCCATCTGCGAACAAAATACCAACAAAGTCTTCTTTTATACCATTTAACCTCAACAAACAAATTCTACAAGTTGACCCTCCAACTTTCTTGATTCCTGTGAAATTAAAAAAACACACATTGTGGCATCGGGATTGAGCATGTATAAAGTCGGCGCTGGTCTCCCATGCTCGTCCGTGGCATTCATGTTTGCATGCAGAAGTTGGTAAAACCACATCACCTTCCCCAGTGTCGAAATAGATGTGACGGAAAATGTGCACGCCTGAAAGAACCGAGTAAACCGTCGAGGCATACAAACAGGAGTAGGAATTTGGGCGTAGAACACGCAAAGCAACATGAAAACACACACACGACATGGAAATTCGGGCGTAGAAAAAGCCAAGACAAATGAAATGAAACACACACATACACACCACACACACACACACACATACACACACACACACACGAACATTTCTTTTATTAGGCGCGGCGACTGGGAGATGCTACGGAGGAACAATTATAACCTGCTGGGATGACGATTTCTGCCTGAGCCAAAGATGGAAGGAGCTCCGGGGTAAGCGAACTAACTGTACTCCTCTTGCAGTAACGCCGGATAAAGACATAAAAAATTATCGGTCACATATAGAAATGCGATCTTAAGATGGTGAATAATTGAATCTCACAAGAAGGAGTTCAGATCGTGAAACCCATTCCCAGGATTGTTCGTCACATGCTCTAGAGGTAACTACGAGGACCAAAACTGTACTTCGTTTTTGCAGGCCGCTTACGGGAATGCCAGGGAATGGGCATAGTTCGTGGTAAACTTGGCGATAGAAACTCCCCTGTATCAAAGGAACGGTGAGTTAAGGGCAAAAGCCAGACCCCAAGCGGAACTCGAACCCGCATCTTACGCTTCCCCTGCGAGTGCGCTGTTCGTTACCCAACCATGGCCGGTCTCAACTCGCTAAGTCGACTCTCCTATGACAACTTTCGGAGAGCGAACAGCGGCGCTAAACAGCGGTTATCACAATAAAGCAGCTCTTCTGTATATCAGGCTATAATTCTGGTGTTTTCGGGGGTTTCGACCCATATGGATGCAAGGAGATTAAAAAAAATCGCAAGAATGCTGAATTTTGACGCCTAGGGGATCAAACCACTCTTGTTCAGCGATCCCAGTACCGCGCCGCAGCGATGAGCCACACTTTCGTGATGCCCTTTTCGTGGTACCCCTACAACATACAGCCAATCCGAGAACGAGCTTTACGTTCTGAGAGATTTCTTTGTTAGAAAGTGAAAAATTTGACGACAAGCACTGTTGAGGGATGCCTACATTCAAAGGAGAACATATCCGTGAGTATGAAGCCATATTATGCTTAACATTAGCTCCAATGAGAAAGGGGTAATCACTATTTGGCAGACATTTTTGAACTGAAGCTAAACATCTCAAGAAGAAATTCTCATCGGAAACCGTACCATATATTTGAGGGCGTACATCAGCTGATTTGGATCACGGTAGCATTCCATACTGTGGCCATCCTTGGAGATCAAACTGACTGAATCTGCGCTCACTCTAATGTAGTACGTAACCCTAAACAACTGAAGCTATAGCGGCCACAGCACCTGCTTGCTTGCAAGTTAACGTTGACTTACTTTCCGACAACATAATCGAAATTCCTATTGGTTAAAACAATCATGAATTGCGAACTTATTGGCGAGCATCGTAGCCATCGCCAATGAACCTGAACAGGAATTACTTCAAAAAAATATTCTTCGGCATAGTATGGGCAACCCATTGATCTCGCGTTCATACTTCATGTTATAGTCGAGCTTATTGCTCTAGCGATTTACATTCGCTCTAATCATGTGTGCGATTTGGTTGCGCGAATAAACAATGGCTGCGATACATAATCCCTAGGTATCACGGCGGAAACAGTATGTTCACTGAGGGATACCTTAAACTCGAGGGAAAAATTAGCATCGCTCGTTCTGAGCAATCAGGTAGCAAAATTCACAGCAGACTCCTACATGAAAGCGTTTTCCATCAAACGTAGTCTAGTCGCAATTCACCCCGGAGACGGGCAAGAGAATCGCAATTTGCCGCTCCGCCGCGCGCGGCGATGGGCGCGGCGTTTTCTTAACTCGTGTTAACCTGTCGATTGGAGCACCGGACTTCATGTAGACCCCGTCATCGTAGACATTCATGACTATTTTCGGTTCTCAATTGCCTGCTGTCGCCATCTATTAGGTCATCCCATTCAAACGTGCCGCTACATATAGAGGAATGGCAGAAAAGCAAAGGGGATAGAGCAGCGGGCTACTATACCATTTGGAAGCTAGTACCTTAAGCTGTGTATCTGTGAAATTTGGCGAACCTAGCCCCAGAAGAAGTTCTCGAGAAATTGAAAAGAAGCCCGAGTGGTGAAAATCGGCGCCGGTTTTTCAAATCAGACGTCATAAGAGGAAAGTGCGCTGCTCAAATTTGACCTGCGCCGGACCATAGTTGTGTGTAAGGGTGTTCTCGAAATACACGGTGGAAGATTTGGTTCAGGAGCCCGTACAAGGAAGAAAGGAAAAAATTTGTTGTCGTGGATGGTCCCATAATATTCATCCTGCACAAGAAAAAAGGGTGGATGAAGTCAGGCACTGAATATCTGATCACAGAGCCTGGACCCTTGTCGAGCTTCCCCGCGAGTCTGACATCCCAGCTGCAACTGCTGCCCGAGTTATGTCCGATAAACTGAGGATGGTCAAGAGGGTGGCGCATGGGTACCTAATTTTCTTATAGAAGCACGAACGCAGTACCGATTCTATACCTCTAGCAGTAATGTTCTCAGCATGAGATGTCACTCACAACTGTGAAAACGCACCCAGGCCTTAGATGAAATATGGGTGGTCTCGGACCTCGAGCCGAAACTCACAATCGTCAATTTTGTATGAATGCAGATGAGAAGCCGCCCGAGTTCTACCATGAAGAGTTACGTGGGCGCAAGTGGATGATCATCATAGCAAAGGATTCCCACACTGTGGCTCAGGCGGCTCTATACAGAGAATAAAATCGTCGCTGTCGGTGTATATTGCCTGTTCCTCGGCATTCAGATCGACAAATGGATGCTACCACACAACTACAAGAAGGCCACCGTTGCTCGTCATAGTACCAGACCCCGAGTAACTGTATTGTAGATCAGTGCTGGGACACAAACAATACTGAGACCTGGGTTCAATCGCCCCATTCGCCCGTCATAAAGCCATGCGATTACAACTGTTCTATTCAGTTGAGAGTACTCTCCAACGGCAGACGCTACAATGTTTTGTCATTTGCCGAAATTGGCAACAACAGCAATTTACCCACACTTATTGAAAAATCGAAGGTACCAGAGGTCCAAAGGCCCTCGGGGCACTGGGAGCGGGTCATTGGTGAAGGAGGGATTTACTCATCCTAAAGCTAAAATATCACTTTTCTATCTATTCTCCTCTTTGTTTTATTCAAAAAAAACCAGCGGCACGTTTGAATGGGATGACCTAATGTTACCTGGAACGATCGTCATATGCGGGCGCGTGGCACGCGACGCCCACCAGCGCGGTGAATTACGGTTCTCTTGTCACATACCCATTTCACCCGGTCCCAAACCTAGGAAGTGGAACCAAAGTTTTTTTTTATTGGGGCATTCCCGGAATCACAGGTAGTTAAAGAGCTTGAAGTAAATGCAAGACGATGGAACAAGATCCTTCTTATGGAAAGCATACTATGTGTGACACCAGAATGCGCGCAATGTAGCACTCAAGCGCTGCTCATAAATACAGTCCTGAAAATAGGCAGCAACTTACCTGAGGATCACGTGTCACAGTCATAAACTCTTCCAATGTTTTCCTCGCCATCTCGACTAGAGAGTAGTGGGAAGCAACAGTAATCAACTTCTCGAGTAAAAACTGCGGTTTATAAGCACGACTTTCGATCTGAAACCAGAAGCGATTACTTGCTCTTACTCCTCAAACCATCTCGCCATTAAACAAGCATGCGCAGAGAGGTTTCAGAGCCAATATTCCAGAACACTCTACCAAACTCGGTGCAGAAAATAACTACTGACCTCAAATCTTCTAAATGCTTACCTCTCGTGCAGTGAATGCTCTTGGACCACGGGCGTCAAGCGCTTCACTGAGATTCGTCAACGGAAGTGACACAAATGCTTGTGGGCGAATCCATCGTGTACACTCTTGCGCAACCATCATTTCACGAAGTGATCGATTCAAGTAAGGACACCCTTCTTCTGGCAAATCACCTTCCTAAAGCAGGAAATTTACATCTCAACTGAGTGACACAACTATGAAATGAGTGAAATTCTATTTGAATTTACATAGATTTCAGTAGCAAAAAAAAACGATAGGCAAGATGAAACGAGCTTCAACAGATCTAAAGCTGAAAGAAGCTGAGCGTACGAATCTTATTTAAAAATAAGAAACAAAATAACACACCCTGAAAGGATAATATTTGAGTTCAACTCGGAGAAGATAGTCGTTGTAGAGGCTGACGAGCAGAACTCCATCGCGAATAGTAGACAAACGAGTTCGCATTTGAACAGCATCGGAGCACAGCTAGATTTAATTCATCAAGAACCCAGTTAGCAGATTGCTCGTTAAAACAATGCAAAAAGCAGATTGTCCATTAAGTCCGTACATCAACATTGTCAATTTGTAGACAATGCGATGAAAAAGTCTAGGAAAAAAAGTGGACGCTCACTGTATTGAATATGTCTTTGCATATCAAAGTTTCTTGAGCCCACTTCAAAGCATCGCTCCAATGTATGGATTCAATTTTACTATTGTCTATCTTCATGTACTCAAATTGGTGATCGTCCAAACTAGCGAACAATTCGCGATTAGTGTAGTCATCTGAAGTGAAACTGCACTGGAATAGTATGTCAAATTTGCGAAAAGTGAACAAGCTCACCCTTAACTATTGAGACGGAAAGGGTCGAGCGACGAGTGAGGTCTCGAGGAACAGTCACCTTTAACAAGTAATATAAGGATCACGAAATCTCCAATGATCCTTGAAAACATATTGACAAAAGGGGACGCAGTGTGGGGTGAAAAAGGGAGGAGAAAGAAAAGACTGAAAATGGCGCTCTTCATCAATGCTCACGCAGTGAATGAAAACGTATCCGACAAACTCAGCATAAATAATTGTCAAAACGTCCCTCTATAAGCAGCAAAGAGCTCTCCACCGCTGCTTCCACAAAAAAGTGACATCATTCAATATTGCTGTCACTCACTGAGGTTCACAGTATTCGCATCACCCTGAGGCAGCCGCTTTTTAATTTCCAAGCACAAGTCACTGATGTGCAGTTTCCAGAAGATGTCTTTTACCAGAGAAGTCCCCAACTTACCAAGGAACTTTGAAGGGAAACGTGGGTAGATCGATAGCGTCTATAAGGTTACTTACAAACATCGATAGCAAAACTACAACCTGCATTTCAAAGCAACTTATGAGCAGGTGAAGTTTGTAATAGTGCAGAAGGGTGGAGGCTTGGTGGTGAGCTGTATAAGCATAAGCGAGGAATCGCATACGTCGAATCGAGTCGTCAAACGTCGAACCTCTCACTGAACCACCACGACTCGATTCGACGTATGCGATTCCTCGCTTATGCTTCACAGCTCACCACCAAGCCTCCACCCTACTGCACCATTACAAACTTTACCTGCTCATAAGTTGCTTGTGAAATGCAGGTTGCAGTTTTGCTATCTATATTTGTAAGTAACCTTATAGACTCTATCGAACTACCCAATTCTCTTTAAAGTTCCATGGTAAGTTGGCGGACTTCCCTGGTTAGATACCAAAAGGCACATCCAGCTTTTTGGGTGCCTTGATCAAAAGATATGGCGTATATGAATACTGTGAAGACAAAATCGCTGAGGTCAGTCTCCGAAGCTGCGATCCACATAACCCATCACTCCGACACTGCAACCAAACTGGTTTCACGCACCATGAGCAAAGTGTCTTTCTCATTGTCCCTTTCCTCTATGGAGCACAGACCTTATATTATTGACCTTCTTCGCTTACGATATGATAAGCTCAGCATATGAGGATTCGTTCACCTGCAGTACAGATGTGCTGGCGTCGATCGACGTTCCAGGAGGCAACGAGATTCTTGTTATGTCGAACAGTTCTCGTGGATTATACTTGGATCCAACTAAAAATAACAGTCATACCAATCGTACCTACTCTGCATTAACAGTCTTAATTTGAATCCATTACGTGCTTAACAGAACAAAGTAATTTTTACCAGCACTATCAGCACCTTTTTAACCAACCACTGTCATCCTTCGTTCAGTAACGAACAATTCTGGAAGCCAAATACACTCGTTGTGCTATAAATGTAAGCATGCGATGTGTAAGGAGAGATGCGCCACAATAAAAGCAGAAGAAGAGGGAAAAGGAGTCTAAATAGTGATCAATCTACGGGCGGGGAGACAGTGAACGACTTTCTGTAACTCCGGTGATTCCCAGGAAATCAGCTCTAAGATACCGCTTTAACTATGAGAGCTGTTCCCAAATGGATCGCATTCGAGAAGACTAGAAACAGCTCAGCATACTTGTCACATTTATTCACGACACAGCGTAGCTCATCTCCCACCCCCCCCCCTTCATGGCGAAATTTCAGGAAGTTGGTTGTGTTATACGAAAGGGATCCAAAATAGGACATGTGTGGACGAGTGGAGGGTGTACTGAAACTGCTATTTCGCCCACACCGATGGTGAACCCTACAAATACTATCACTGAACTTTTTCGCCGCCTTTTCCTTCCAACTACACACAGTTACATATTTCTAGTGCAGTGAGCGACAGTACATGGTTCTAGGATTCTAGTCACAATCGATTATCTGCCTATGATAAATGAACCAAATCGCACATATGCGGTAGCCAAGGTCTCCGTAGATATGATCGCCGGTTTTTCGAACCCTCCAATATTCACGCATTTTTGTCAGCTCCCTGAAACAAGGATTTTCTACAGCAGATCCTTCAACAAGGTCGAATAAAACATGCTCCTGCTTACATGAAGAATTGGCTTTTCTGTTGATGCATCTCATCCTCCACTTCCACGTTTCTAAGCCGCTGCGCCAATTCGAGAACACTCATAGCTTCTAATAATGCCTGGAAGCGAGTCTCTCAAGTGCACCTTTTCCTTTAATTTACTGGCAGTTCTGAGAACCAAGCTTCTTATTGCTGAAGAGGAGAATCTCTTCTACACTAAGAAGTAACTGAATTGTAGAATAATTCGATCAACAGTTTCACCTTTCGCTTCCACACCCACTGTGTAGCTTTACTTGCTGCAGCATTTTCCGTCTGCATCGGAGCTGATTCTGCGTGTATTGGATCTAGAATGGTTAACGGCTTCATGTAGTCAGTGGCTCGCATGATCGCAAGGTTGTCAAGGAGAACGTTGAACTGCTGCAGCGACTCGCTGAATCAAAACAATTTTTATTAAGAAATACTGCATATTTGGGAAGAAAAGACTAAAAAGGTATAAAAATAGACTTACTGCAAATACTTCGCCACGCCGTGCCAAGGCCCTGCTTCTGGTACAACGCGTTCTTCGATTTCAACAGATTTCTTTTCGACAGTCTGCAATATGCTCGGTGTAATCAGAACTTAAAATGGTTTCCTTTCGCAACTATTTTAAACGTTTCTTTAAACCATCCCGGGTTTCTTGCGATATCTGCTTATCGAACTTAGTGAACCATGAAGGGCAGGCTTACTACAGTTTTTGGAGTTCACGGGATCATCATTTTCTCTATGGACACAACGACTGTTTGCTGAAAATGAAATGGATAAAGGATAAAGTCTTCGCCGTTGATCAATCCCTTTGTGGGATGCGGCACGCATTCTACTTCCATTCAGAATCTTATTGAATGCGATGTGGCCTATACAATGACTTGCGGTGGCCAGCCGATGTACAAGTCAGTGTTTTATCCTCCCAGACGAATCTGGTACCAATTTACCGTCCCCGGAGGGTAGAAGGCTTGGTTGGCCTGGGCGGGAGTCGACCCGGGATTCGAACCCGGCGCCGCGCGAGTGGTAAGCGCGCCACTTGTCACTACACCACCTCCGCCTCTTGCTCACCATAGATCTCTCAAATGCGTGAAGACCTTTCAATAACAGTAGATTAAAAGAACTAAACCGCAGTGGGCAGTGGTACGATCCGTTAAGAATGTCGGTGAATGTGTGTCTGCTTGCCAGTGCGTCAGTGTTTTTACATTGCTGTTTGTCATTATACTCATAGCGCAGGTCCCAGAAACAGTTGAATTGTTTCACAATTGGTGTATAGAGGGTGGGAGGGGAACATTGTCAGTGGGTAAAAGATGATAAGAGCTGGGAGGAGTTGATGAGGACGTCAAAAGGGAGCGTGACCAAATTTGAATTCGATGCTCTAGTTCGAGTTACCAGTTATGAGGCTCTAAGCGGTTAGAGCACAACACATCCTTAGACTCCCACTAATAATGACGTCATACTAGGCTTCAGCGGCGAAATGCAGGAACCTATCCTCTGCGGCTTATTTTCGCGGCAAACTCGAGGAAAAGTGTGGACTAAAGAATGTGATACCTATCAAGTGGACCACATGAGAGTTTGTGTTAGCTACACGAGTGTACTTGGATCCTGGTACGTGTGTATTTTTGCACGTCAAAAAAACACCTCTGTACAGAATGAATTTCAACCTCACCTCTTCTTCTTCATTTTCAGCCTTTATAGAGTTTGGGTTGTCATACACTGCATCTGACCCTATCAATTTCTTCCAGTCCACTTGCCTTGCCAATTTACCAACATTGTCAGAGAATGATGGAGGCCTAAAACGTCCAAATTTAAAAAAAAGAAACAATAAGGCTGTCAGTCAGATGGGTTAACTCTTAGAAATGCTGCCGTTCAACACTTTTTTTCATAGGTTACATGGCGCGCTTTTTGGAAATCTGTCTTCAGTTATATAGAAAACTCGGTGCTTACGACATAAGCGAGGCCACACAGGAGCCCCTCTGCCCTGCTGTATTTTCTCTTGAAAAAGCTTCAGCTTAACTCCTCTACTGTTCTTCACCTTTTGCATGAGTATCTACACTCTATATTTGCTTACTTTTTCGTCAGTTCCATCCCTATCATCATTTTATCAACCCCAGCTCAATAGGGAGTCCCTGAAAGAACACTGTCCGTCAGAGGTCATTGAAGGCTCAGAGATGCATAAAGATACCATACAAAGAGGACGACTATGTTCAACACAATGGAAGATACTGAAAGAAAGTTGTGAGCCAGGGGATGGGCTTTTCAAAGGCAGGAGATCGTAGAGTACTTGAGCCACTCGCAATATAAGAAATGTTGATATCGCAGTGGCCATAGTGCGTTATGCGAACGAGACAGTGCAGACAGGTTTGGAAAAATGAGTAACCCACGGCAACTCTGTTCGTCTGCGCTCTAAGTCTAGTTTAGTGCACAAAAGTGATCGACGCGGTGTGAGGGGGGGGGGGGGACATTCTGCACTTCTGCTACTTCCCATCGACCTATCGAGCCATCCAAGTGGAGACCTATGAAATCCTGTAAAGCCGCGAAATGATACTCGCAAAATTTGTAGAAAGCACTTGCCAACCCTTGTAAAACAATGGAATACCATTCAAGTACCATCAACATGGCGGCTTGACGAGCTTGACCCAGCTTCACAACTCTTCACAGTTTAACCAGGGCGAGAGTGATGAGCCGGAAATAGTGGATTAGCGGAAGTGTAAAATAAAACCCCCTCTTGTCCCCCGTCGCCAGAAGGTTACATGGAAAAATATTTAATCTTGGACAAAGGAAAACATACACATATAGGGAACTTGCCGCGAGGTAATGAGAGCAAGAAAAAGATATAGGATGATCTGAAAGACACGTACTTTATGTACTTTTCCACTCCATCGTATCCAATTTCTTGTATTTTCCATTCATTGACTCCTTCTAATGAGATATCCGCACCCTTTCGTACCACTCCAGGTCCTCCGGTAAACGTACTCGAACCAGAGGGATACATCTAGAACACTTTACTTACCAGAATTGTCAAAACTAGATTTCTACAGTTCAAGCGGTTGAATTTTATTTGTTACATTGAATGCCTTTCACTTCAAAGTCCTTCCATTATTGAACAGTCAGTCATCTCAGGGTGACAGACAAATACGTTGAAAGATGATTGAAGAAATAAGACATGCAGGCACACAATTGGCAAGCTTCAAATATCCCAGGGATTTCATTGGCAATACGTAACGGTAGTGAACATGCGCTCCATATCCCAAAGCCGAAATGGGCATGACTGTAGACTTCACTTGAATGAGACGATGAGCACTTTTCCTTGGATAATGAAATTTTGGGAAAACTGTGGATGTTTTTGTCCAACGCAAACAGGATGATAGATGTCTCAAATGGAGTGATCCCAGGGGAAACGCATCTCACGCCGCATTCAAATCAAGTGCGCAACTACGCCTACTTCATCTCTAGGATATGCAGTGCACGTGAAATTCATCGTTACTAGACCATTTTCATCATGATCAATCATTCGTATTGACGCGTATTTGATAGGTCGAAAACTGTGACCAATAGTTCGCGAGTGAAAAAATCTGACGTCGATGCCCGTGATTCTCGATAATCGGTGAAATAGGAAAGCATAGAAATCGATCCGAAAAGCTGCACTTCCAAGCTGGGAATTACAGAATTTCAGGCGGCCCGGCTCCATTTCCGTTTCCATATAACGGTAACACCAAAGTAGATGGGTTTTGGTTGAGTCCTTTCACTGGCGTTTTTAAAGAGTCCACATTACAAGAAGATGCATTCCCATCCAGTTTTTCTTATTCAGAATCGCCCATTCTACACACACGCAAACTATGAACCCGTCTCGACAGCACCACGGAAGCGTAGGTCTGGGCGACGGCGATCGCCCTAATTTATGTAACATAGAAAACATGAGGTATTTCCGAGGAACATCACACGACATGAGGCCAGCAATCCTAGGCGGACATGCTAACAGTCTAAAGAGTTCAGAGCGAACTGTCGCGGTCGGAAGGAAAACAGTTATCTGATCGTTCTGATCATACCACCTGTATTCTATCACCGAGGGACATGTGCCCCCCTGCACACGATAGCCAAGGATATTCAATAACAGAACCCTGCTTAATTTGGAACACTGACCACTGACAGTGAAACCTCAAAAAGACGGTCGCGATCGCAAATCGGGATAGTGAGCTCTAGATACTAACGATATGATGCTAGTACTACAATAACTACACCATAAGGAAGCCATTAAAAAACGACAGTGGGGTGTGGCGCACGCAATGGGCGGGCACCCGCGTCTTCACGGGCACTCGGGATACGTGTGGTGTGCACTTCTATGCAATGCACTTTTATGCCGCAAAGTGAAATATTTTTCGTGTTGTGGATTGGACTACCTTGCCAGAGGAAGATGTTTGCACATGAGGTGATCGTAAAATGTGTCTTCAAGGTCGCACAGAGGCAAATATCATTATAAACAAGTTCTTGTCAATCTTGAAAAAAGTCAGTATTCCCCTCGGATGGATGGTTCCAACGAACATGTTCTTCTTCATTGCCAACTTAACCAACAAGAACTTTATAACGACGATGTAGCACTAATGAATTTGTGCACGACAAACACAGCCGGTACATAATGAAGCAGAATGCATTAAGGTGAAACAAAGAAGAGAACCAACTCGCATGACATCACAATTGCCTAACAACTTCAACATGGCTGAAACCCATGGTCGAATGTGCATCACCATGGCCTCTACAAATGGTATAGGCAAGACACGTATGGAAATGAAGAGCGTGGATCTCAAAAAAAACAACGATCTCTTCCTCTCTACCGGACAGTACATCTGGATCACCAAAACGTTTGAAAAAAGAAGTCGTCTGAAGTACTCGAGACGCAAAACGAGTTAACAACGCGCCGACTCAAAATAATATGACGATCAAATGTAGAAAGATCAATAGAAGAAGCAATATGTAATTTTCACGTAACAGATTTTTCCGTATCAAGAATTGAGGAGAAGCAAATCAATCTGTTCAAAATACGCATGACAATAGGATAGGTTAAATGCTGCATGGCCCTCAATGCATCGTGTAGACATTCTCTTCGCGAAGATCACAAACATCTCCATGGAAGTCCACCTGAAATTTACAACTGTACTCCATCACCATATGATTAATAAATTAATGAAACTACTGCATTCTATCACACCCAAGTGAGGAAGTAGCCATTTTACTTAGCAGTTGCACTCGTGAGTGATATCAGAAGTCGCTCTACTGACTGCATCCATAGCTTGCGACAGTGAAGAATGGCAGAATCGAAGAAGTGGCGAATTGCGGAACGGATCGATACGAAACCTGATCTTTTTCGCCAATTTTGCAGCCTTGCACTGCCTTTCTGCAAATCTTCATTCCTGCATTTCCTCAATTCGTTAGTTCCTCACTGTCCAGCCGCGAACGAACGCGGCCTTACCTAGCCAGTAATTCTAGGTGCCGGATTGAATGTCAGTTTGTAAGTCGGTCCGTATCTTAGACGACACAACTTTCCGTCCAAGCAATTCCTGGTGATGTGATTTCGGTGAGATTTCCAGTCACTCCGAAGTTGCTCATGTTGCAGTTGCTAATTTGGGTATTAGTTCATCATATGGCAGGAATGCGTCCTAATGCGAGCATGAGCTTGGCGGCTACTCGGGACAAAAACTTGTTTGATCATGCGTGAATAGCATCCATTCTGCCCTTTTTCGAAACCCCCGATAGGATGTCGAAGTGTATCTTCTTTGATACAGCTAAAAGAATTTGTTTGAGGAAGCATTTTTCGTCCTTGGGTCTACACCTTTCTGTCTTCGTCAGAACTTGAGAGTTCCGAGATCTAAACTTGTAAACTAAAAATGCTCCTAAACTATAGCTCCTGAAAAGGAGTCATGACCACCCTAGTATAATCCAGTGATGAGAACGTTCAACTCATGGTTGCAGCATGGGTAACCTGAATAAGCTGTTATTCAGATTTTAGAGATGTTCTCGAAATAGCGTCGAAAACGCTAAAGAGTTTTTGGTTGTGTGGGCCAAAAATTAGGAACTCATGGTTAGAACAGTCATAGATTTTCTGAAGATGAAAACTCGAAACGTAAGGCTGAATGGTCACATTTAACACGTTTTAGCGTAAATGAAGAGAGTACAAGCAGTGCACTTTTTGAAATTGATGAACTCAGTTATTTTGCGATATTCCCCACACATAAGGGTTCTCGTTTCAAATGACGACTTATCCATATATCATAGCTCTTCTAAAGAACAATTGAAAAGCTACTGATTTGTTTTGCACGTACCGAAGCCTTCGTAGTTAAGCGCCACATAGAAAATGGACTTAGCTGCTTAATATTACTCTAGTTCGTTGCGGACGAAAGGTCTTGTCAGGCTATGAGGGCGTCACCCCCGTTCTGTGCCAGTTGTTGAAGCGGCATACGACAACAATTAGTAGAAAACGAGTGATACGAACGATATGATACAGCCTTGTCACTTGCTCGCTTCAACAACAAATGAGAACGAGTACGCGCCAAAAGCATACCGCCTAACACGCCTCTTCGTCCGCCGCAGATGAGACTATATCACTAAAATTAAAAGAAATCAGCAGCGCTCATATGGGACATTCCGAATTCCAGCCAACAAATTCATGGGTAAGGCGAATAATGCAAAAAAGGCTCCCAAATTGTTTATTTCACAGGAGCTCAAAAGTTTCAAAAGAATCTTGAATGTTATGTTTTCGAAAACATGCTAGGGACCTCTGAACAATAACCATTTTCTGTTTTTACAACATTTGGAAACTCATTAGGCTCTGGGACAGCACAATATTGAAACTTGAAATCGATCAAAGAGTTGTGTTCTCCAGCCGAAAGGGTGATGCTTAGTTCTGACCACGAAACCTCGAAAATGTTCTGGACTGCTACTTTGTACGACTTGCAATCCCCAACTCCATTGAATGCAAGTAGAAGTAGGAACAAAGACTTCTACGGGGGGGGGGCAAAGCAAGGTACTTCTCCTACTCATATAGCAGCACCACAGACATCGCTCGGTAAAGAATAAAGACCAACCGTGATTTGGAAGTCGAGATCACGTTCATTCCTTGCATTGGGCGTCACAGAGAATGTGCCTGTGATTTCTTCACCTTTCTTCACAGTCAACGCATCCTGCACCAAAGAAAACGAATTAAAAGCAAGGCTTGGGTCAAATGAAGATCTAAATTCTCACCATCAGATAAAAGACAGTTTGCTTCCAATGTGTGTACTGAACATCTGGTCCAGTCGAGAAACCCGTTCGTTTATGACACTTCGAGAACTCAACCGTGAAGAAAGTGACAAGGGCCTGAAAACAAATGGCTGAACCTGATAACCATGGGAATCTACCAGGAAGTGAAATCACCCACTTGGACATAGTCGTTCCTAGCACAGCGCAGTTGGAAATGTGACGTCCAAGTAAGATCTTCAACTTTAACGGTATAAAGATCGATCTGAATATGTTATTTGACCATTTCCTCTTAAAGTAAGCTAGCATTAGTCGACAAACTTACCTCTTTGATGCAATAATTATTGGTAACAACTTGTGCGTTATCGACAACGTCAACGAGTGGCTCAGTAATAGCGACCTTGCGAATGGCGGACATGTTGAATCCGTAAACGTTGTCCCACCTGAAATATCAGTAAACTTGAATATAAGAACAAGTCACGATATTTTGAGGACTGACCAGTGAATTTTGTCCTCTTTATATTGGCGGTCCTCAATGGCGCATTTAAGTACAACTTTCGCTTTGTCCGGGAATATAAGACCGTCTTCCTTCAGCCATTTGTCGCGTGCAAAAATCACGGTATTTAACATCGACTCATAGAAGAGACAGTAACCCATCCATTCAGATATGATTACATCAACCTTAAAACAAATACAATGAGAAAAAAATAAGTACATTGAGATCTGTGACGTTAAAAGAGTTGTTAGCGTTCAATCACTACTTGGAACTCTGTTTAAAATGGAATAGGGGGCGCTATATAGCGGGATATGACCAAAAAGGAAAGTGAAACGGTCATAAGCCTGCAAAAATGCTTTTGTTCTACTTATTTGGAATGCAATTCCAGACGAGTTTGCCGTTGCATCGTGCCATTCACTGTTACGGTAGATATGACTGTGTGTATGTACTCATACATCCATGCCGACACTTGTGGGCGGGAGGGAGCGATGGGCGTCTGGGTCGGTGTGATGCAGCTTGGTAGGGCGCTATACGGGTACCTTCCCTAAAAAAAACGACCCGCGCCTGCTCAGGAGCCTCGAATTCCGCACTGCTAGGTGTATTAATCCTACACGTCTTGGCGATTTATCGTTTCACTTGCCTTTAGAGCGGCAGTCCGTGTGAACTGCCAACGTCCGGCATCAGCGCTGAAGCTGAACTGTAGCACAAATACGCAGGGCGACTCGGACGCACGCTTTTTTCTTTGAGTGCATGTGATATCACTGAGCAGGAGATCAAGCTACACATGTGTATAACGAGCATAATTTCACAGGGGAAATTAAACAAAATTCGCTTCTGACCTTGGAAATGGCAAATGGAACAGCGCGAAAGAGTCACAGCTAGGAGCGAACCCACAAGTACCCAGTAATCGCAGTAGATGACACCAGTATGACCTAGTTCTAGTCTTAAGTAGCAGCTGGTCCTCAACCTTATTCATTATAATTTTCCAAGCTGCAGTCAGAATGATGTTGCAGGGATGCAAGAATCCAAGCAAAACTTTGTTCTGTTAGCTGAAATGTTAAAGGAAACTTTTCGAGCGAACAGCCGCGTCACTTCCAACCAAACCCTGGAGAACTTCTGGGAATTTCCCAGGAACATTGTATGAAGTATTCAAGAAATCAGACCTTCTCGCAACCATCGGGAAGTTCGGTAACGTCCTCTACTTTTGCTTGAATAACAGTAATGACATCCTGAAGGTTGTTGTCATTGATAATTTGACGAGACTGCGCGGCCATGTTTGAGAACTCCACCTGAAAACTTTGACAGTTTAGAAAACTTATAGTTAGTTAAAAGAAGTGAGAAAGTATTTTGGGGATCATGCCGCTCGCGGCGAACCTCGTCTGCTCTTCTGTTCCCAGGGAGATAGTGTGAGAAACAACCCATAATGGTTCCTGGCATACTTGTAGCGCGAAATTAG